GTTTATTTGAGTAACTGGAAAGAGCTATATGATGATGCAGTGCTAACATTCTAGTAGGAGAAAAAGAAAAAAGTGTCCCTTCAGAACCCTGAGTGAGTTAATAAGAAAACAGCAGTGAATTGGTTCTGTTCTGAGGGTGTTAAAAGAGGAAAGGGAAGGAAAGGTAAAGTAATACAGTAGTGTACAAAGGGGGAAAAAGAGTGTAGAATTTGCTAGTTCTCATAACTGATGTGTGAGAAGATATACAATAGGAAGAAAAGGGTAAAGAAGAAGACATATAAACTAAACTCTTATCTGAAACAAGCAAAGAGCTGAACACAGAATCTGATGGAGAAATACAAAAATATCAACAGTTAAATAAGCAGAGATTGATGGAGCACTTAAGAGGGAAGACAATAGTGGAGAGGTAGTAGAGCAACTAAAACAAACTTCCTGATCCTGAAAAGGAGTGATTAAAAGGGTAAAAAAGAAAAGAACTAGAGTCTAAATGGAAATTGGAAATGGCTAGCACAACAGTAGTATATCAAAGTAACAGAATATTATTTTGCTGTATGACAAAAGAATTTTAGAGAATCCTGGGGAGTATGAACTGACAGAAGCATAGTAAGACACACAATTGATATATGGACAACAACATCGTAACATAAGACAACAACATAAGAAGAACTCATATCAATGTAATGACCACCCATTTCTCTAGAGGACATGAGGCATGTTACTGCACCCCCTGATAAGAAGTGATACTCAAGGTACAAAAACAGACATACCTTTTTGGATACATAGACAGTATGGATTAATTTCATTTGACTATGTTTATTTGTTAAAAGACTTTTTCCCCTTAGTTTTTAATAAGAGCAGAGGGGAGAAGATGACTTGGATATGCTGAGTTTGAAATACTTCCAGGATAGACAATTCAAGGGGTCAAAGAGGCAGGCAGCAAACACAGACCATTCCTCAGGAGAAAGTATAGGGCTAGACAAATAGATCTAAGAATTATCAGAAGAAAAACGATAACTGACATGGAAAATAGAAATCACCAAATGAAATAGTATAGAGGCAAAGGGAAAAAAAAATAGGGCCCCAAAGCCCTATATAGTTAGTGAGTATAACACAGACAAAGAGCTAGCAAAGAAGATTAAAAAAGATTAGGCCAAAGAAGAGAGATCGGTGTCACAAAAACCTTAAGAGGAGAGAATATCTAGGAAAAGAAAAATTATCCAAAATGAAAGGTCATCAGATTTGGCAATTAAGAGATCACTGGTAATCTGTAGAGAACAGTTTTGGTTGAATGAGAATGTTGGAAGCTAGACTGCAGAAGGTTTAAAAGAGGCAACAGAAGAGTGTAGATGGCCTTCTCAGGAAATTTAATCATAAAAAGGAGGGATACAGAAAGTCAGCTAGTGAGGAAGGGTCAAGTAAGGATTTTTAAGGGTAGAGGAGACATAGACATACATGGAGGCAGCAGGGAAGGAGCCAACAGATGGGGAGGGGTTGAAGATGAGAAAGTGAGGATAATTTGCTGCAGAAGACAGAAGGTACACATAGAGAGGGTTGGGCCTAATAAGGAGAAGGGACACCTCAGAAAGTGGAGCTGAGGAGTCAAAACGACTCAAAGTCAGAGCCAAGAGTCAGAAAATCTGGATTCCAATCCCAGCTCTAACTCTTGCCCATGGTCATAAAGGTGGTAAGCCCTTTAACTTCTCTAGGTCTTTAGTTTTATCATCTATAAAATAAGATCTCTTCCAAGCTCTTTACTCCACTATCTAAACTATTAAAAAAAAATCATATTCTACTTAAACAACAATATGAATTAAAGTCTTTCTAACTAAATCAGCATTTTTAAAATGAGGATTAAAATTTTTACCATAAGCATTTTAAAGGAAGATGCATTCAGATCCAATATTTTAAAAAAAATTTAAGAGAAATAAACACAAAGAAACCGAAAGGTCTTTGTTTTGAGCTTAAAACAACTCTAGTTTCCAACCGGTAAAAATAATTCACCTGCAATAACATTAACCTAGAACACAACAGTCCTAAGCCTATTACTCTTCCAAAGACAACTTCTGTAAATTCTATCAAATGTTTTCCTATAGTAGGGACAAGATCCAGGAGCAATAATTACATTAGATCTTCGTCTGATACTAACTGTGGTCTCATGAAATTGGAAAACTTATCTCCAAGTGTGTCATTTAAATGAACAAGTTTCAAAAATAGTGCTGAGATCAGAAAACCCTATGGGGATTTCAAATGATGCATTAAATAAATAAATAATATCCCTTCCCTCTGAATGTATTTTTATTTGGTATTATACTATTCAGTCTGAAAAGACTATATGGAAGTAAACTTTTTTTTTCATGAACGAGTGAATAAAAAGGACAGTAATAGAAAATGGCAAATCAAATTTCAAAACTATTTTTTCTTCTCTAAGTAGCTCAATGTAGTAGCTACTCAAATCTATATCCACCTTGCAAATTTATAGAAACTAACTATGGAAAGTTCAAGTTACAAGAATTTTTAGGCCTTATTTTGGGTATCAGACTAATTACATTTCACAAAGACTGCCACAAGAAACAATTCCAAAAGTTTGAAAATGGGAAACACTTTAAGAATGGCCATATATTGGGGGAAGCTAAGTGGTGCAGTGGATAGAGCACCTGCCCCGGAGTCAGTTCAACTCTGGTCTCAAACCAGACACTTGATGCTTACTAGCTGTTGTGACCCTGGGCAAGTCACTTAACCCCAACTGCCTCACAGCCAAAAAAAAAAAGGCCATATATCTATATATTTATCTATCTATATATCCTATTAATACTATAAATATTTTAGGACCAAAGTATTACACTTTGCAGGGCCACTTTTAGAACCCTACATTTTACTCAAATGATTGGAATTTATCAGTGTAGACTCCTATAAGGCAAGAGGATCAAATAAACAATATTTTTCCATTTACAGATATTCAAAATACGAAACATCTTTTACCATATTCTCTAACATAGATTCCATTTTTTAAAAATAGCCAGTTTAACAAAGGAAACTGAAGTTTTTATTTAAAAAAACAAACTAGACCTTCAACACAAAATATATTTAAATGATTCCTAACTATGGTCTTAGTTACATTAAATAATTGACCTGTCTTCTATCACACTACAGAACTGAGGCAGTTAACTAAGTAAAGCTTAATAATGCTGTCACTCACTGTAATGAGAAGTGTTACAGAAATCACTATTCCAAAACTATACACACCTGTTTGGTTCACCTTGCCCCTAGTAAGAACCAATCTCCTAAGTTACCAATGTATGATATAAATTTCTTCTTATATTTAACCATTTATTTTGCTCTCTACCACATCACTCAAATCTTTTCTCCAAAATATTCATTCATAGGCAAAAAAACAAGATACTTCTACACGAAAGGAAACAGATTCAGTCTGAACTGAATTTGTTTTATTAAAAATAACAACTTTCATAATAAACACTGACACTCAGAATGCACCTTAAGGTTTGAAGGATACTCATTGTTTCATTTGATCTTCCCAAAATCATGATCCTAGTTTATAAATAAGGAAACTGATGCTAGGACAGCAATTAAACCATTTCCCCAATACCATACAGCTAAACAGTATCACGGCAAGATTTGAACACAGGTCTTGACAACAAGTCTGGTGGTCTAGACACTATTACCACACTGCCTTCCCTCCGTACATCTATATATACAGCTTTAACATTAATAAAGTGTTTGGGGGCAGCTAGGTGGTGCAGTGTAGAGCACCGGTTCTTAAGTCAGGAGGACCTGAGTTCAAATGTGACCTCAGACCAAACACTTGACACGTAGTGTAGTAGCTGTGTGACCCTGGGCAAGTCACTTAACCCCAATTGCCTTAAAAAAGTGTTTGACGTCTCCTTTACATTTCCATCTTGAAAGCTTTCTAGGACTCAGATTTCAAGTACAAATTATCACCTATCCCTGTAAAAACTGCTTATTCAATTATTAATTGGCCACTAAAATTCTCACTATTTTAAACCTCACTATAATAACGAAGGACAAAACTGCTACCTCGAATGTGGGGTTTAACTCTACTTTAGCAGTAAGTATTGTATTGTTCGTATCGTACTAGTAAATCGTATTTTCAAAAACTGGGTCAAATACCGTCAAGCCAAACACTTAGAAGTCTTGATTTAACCCTGTACACAAAACACAAGGTGATGTCCCCGTTTATTGCTCCAGCATTAACAAAGGTAATGTAGGAGGACAAATAACCCACCTAATTTAAAATAAACAAAAACCTGACACAAAAATTCCTAAAACATCTCATTAACGCAAAGCAGCAAACTTCTTTCGGACTGCAGGTCTCGTTTTCCGAAAGGAATGACAGTTTTCCTTCTAAATGCTAAGGGTGATGTGAAATAAGGTGCCCCAGAATTAACAGCCTTGGAAGGAGCCCCTTCACAATAAAACTATGGGTCACCCACTTATCAGAAAGATATATATGCAGCTGACCTCCTCTGCGATCCTCCTCAGTCAAGAAGCTTAAAATGGAAGATAAAAGGATAATTACTGTCTTAGAGGAGTAAAAGGTTATTTTAGTATTTCGTCTCCCTTGTACGGAAATGACAGCAGTCAGAACATCTGGTAAACATTTGGTAAACATCCGAATCCCCTAAAGTAGTCCAGACGTTTAGTCTCCAAGATGATGTATTACTTTACAAAAGTAATCAACATAGTCAACCCCAAAAATGCTTTAGGCCCTGCAAGGCACTCCAAATACCACCTGATATTAATGCTCCACTTAACTTCTGTCTTTGCCAAGTCTTCCCTCCTCAAAATGAGCAACATCCCCTCCTCCATATTTCCCAGGGGAAATACCCCGCCCCACCCCCACCTCTCCCGGGGCGCCGGGGCCAGGTTAACACCGAAGAGATTCCACGGGGAAGGGAGGGGAGGGGCGGGGGACGGCGAGCCGGGGTCCGGCCCTGGGGTCGCGGCGCCCCGTGCTCCCTCACCTATCACGATGCGCAGGTGCTTTAGCCGGGTCAGTGCGTCCTTCTTGGTGTCCAGCACCTTCTGAGTGGACTTCCTGACGTCCCCGTGCGGCTTCTTGGAGAACATCCCGCCCTGTCCCGGCAGCGGAAAGTGGAGGGAGTGGGGCGGGAAGAGACAACGCGTCAGTAGCTCATTCACGGCGGTGGGTTCGGGGGCCCCTGAAAAGTCAAACTCTTCGGGCTGAGGCTGCGTCCGCGGCCTCCGCCTCCTCCGGCCTCCCGCCGCAGGCCCGAGACACCGCCGACACCGGCTCCAATATGGCGGATCCTGCCTCCAGGCCCTGAACGAATCTAGGGAGCCGGGACTGAGCCGCGGCTAATCCCGCGCCCGCTCCTCCTCCGAGGCCCTGTCTTCCTCAGCTACCGCAGTTCCCCGCCTCAGGCTAGGGGCAGCGGTGCTCTTGGGGTGGGGAGAAGGCCCAGACCCAGAGGGGCGGAGGCGGAGGTGGAGGTCCGCAGCCACAGCAGCCCTCCCTCCGCTCTCTCTAGGGCCACCTAAAGGTTAAAAGCTTCTTCGGCACCGCCCACCAGGCAGCGCCAAAACTGGAAACTAAGAGCTGCGGAAGGGTTTCACGACTCTGCCGTCGGTGGCAAATGGTGCCCATGGCAACAGCCTTCTGTCGTCACTGATCTCTTACGTCATGCCTGCGTGAGGTCATATCGGCCTTTTCCCCATATTTGGTTTTATGTGGTAGTGTGGTCAGCCAAAGAAGAAACAAAGATAGTACTGGAAGATAAATATCCCCTTCTCAGTGCTGCCTGCTGACCATTAATAGTAGGTACATTTTTAGGGATAATCCCTGCACTGTCTTCATGCTGTCTTGGCAAAAGATTACTCTTCAAAACCTCAGAACAGAATGTGAGTATGTACTGGATGTCAAATCAAAGAATATTGATTGAGCAGGCCTTTCATTTTCTGAAGATTTATAGAGTAAGGTTTACAAATCTATGTTGCTCAGAATGAGGATTTTTTTTCAAAGTTCACAATTATTTTGAACATTTTTAGAATACACTATATTGAACTTGGTTAAAAATACAAGTCATAATCATGCTGCCAGAGCTATAGAAATTTGATAGTGAAAAGGTATTTAAAAATTATATGGTCTACCTTGTCCAAGCCCATCATTTTACAGATGAGGAAACTGAGGCAGATGTCAATTAAGTGACATGCCCAGGGCCACACAGCTAATAGGTAGTTGACTGAGGTAGTGTGAACCCAGGTCTTTGTGACTCCAAGTTCACCACTCTGTCCACTATACCACAGCTGCTTCTCGTGCTGCCTTCACATTTTACAGAAGAGAAAACTGTCAAAACTGAACTCATTAATTCCCTCACCCCCACCCTACACTTTCCCTATTCCCAAGGGCCCTACCATCCTACCAGTCCCTCCAGCTTTCCACCTAGAACTATCATCCTTGACTCCTTTCTCTCTCATCCCCCGTATCCAATCTGTTGTAAAGGCCTATTGATTTCACCCTTGTAACTTCTTTCTTCAGTACTTCTGATATCTTCTCTCCACACACTGCTGCCACTCTAGTGAAGGTGCTCATTTCCTTTCCTTTGTCCTATTGTAATAGACTGCTGGTTGGTGTCAGCCTACCTCAAGGTTCTCCCCACTCCAATCTATCCTCCACTCAGGCACCCAAGTGATTTTCCTAAAGCAAAGGTCCACCATTTTCACACACACACCCCCAGCTCAATAAACTTCAGTCTCCCTTCCAAGTTCAAACATAAAATCCTTGGTCTTTCAAAACCCTTCTTAACCCATAACCCTTAAGTCTTCTTACCCCTGACACATACTCTTTGATCCAGGATACTCTGACCATCTTGCTGCTCTTCAACCAAGACACTCCAACTCCTACCTCCCAGCATTTTCACTGACTCTCCCCCACATCTTCATCTCTGCCTCCTGGCTTCCTTCAAATCTCAACTAAAATATCATTTTCTATCAACAGCCTTTCCTAATCCTTAATTCTAATACCTTCCTCCTTATGATTGTTTTCTATTTATCCAGCATATAGCTTGTTTGTACATAGCGTGTTTGCATATTGTCTCCTTTCATTAGACTGTAAGCTTCCTGAAAGCAAGGACTGTCTTTTGGCTTTCTTTGTATCCCCATTGCTTAGTATAGTGTCTGAGATATTGTGGGTGCTTAATAATGTGTATTGACTAATTATAATTCAGTTTATGATCATGCAGTTAAACAGACATTTGAGTCAGTGTGCCAGATGCTGGGCATATGCCGTACTTCAATACTTCAACAGCTCTGTGATTTCATTAATATGAACTCACTCCACTAGCACAAATTGCAGCTCCTTGCCTTAGGAGATAAGTTCAGTTGTCAAAAAATTGGGAAATCTACTGGCCAAACTAATGGTAATAACATTCATCTCAGTTTATAGTCAGAAGCTGGTCCAGTGAGATGATAGTCTGCTGTCTTGGCTGTACTCAAAGCCTTTTACCCTCTACTGGCATAACCTTTGAGAGACCAGGGTGACCACTCTATCATTATTAGACATCGGAGTAGAACATTAAAAGAAGGGACACTAGAGCTAAAAAAGTGAAATAAGACAGGAGGAATTTATAATTTCATGGGGCAGGAAGCAGAGAATAATATACACAGATAGCAGTGATACAAGGCATATTATAATAAGTACAAAAAACTGCAGTTAAAATACTATAATAAATAGCATTTATGATGGGAGAAAATATTCTTGGCTAGGTGGAAATCAAGAAAGAAATCTTGGAGGAAGCAGCACCGAAGTTGTGCTTTGAAGGACTCCAGGGATTTCAGCAAGTGGAGTTGAGGTGTCGGGGATTCCATTTCAACCATGGGCTGTAAATACAGGACAAAGGAAGACAGAACTAGTTGTATTGTGCAGTACATTTGGGCTGGAACATTATTGGACCCCTAGGTGGTGAAGTGGATAGAGCACCGGTCCTGGAGTCAGGAAGACCTGAGTTCTAGTTAGGCCTTCGAGGCTTGCTTACCAGCTGTGTGACCCTAGGCAAGTCACTTAACCCTGTTTGCTTCAGTTTTCTCATCTGGAAAGGGAAATGGCACAGCACTTAAGTATCTTTGCTAAGAAAACCCCAAATTGGGTCACGAAAAATCAGACACAACTGAACAACAATATTAAGTATTCAGGAAAAGGGGTACTATGAAATAAAACTGGCAAATACTTTGAAATAAAATTGTAGGAGGCCTTGTGTTACAGGTTAAGGAAGATAAATGTTACTAGATAGACAATGAGAAATCTTTGAAAGTTTTTGAGTAAAGGAAAGGTAAGATCAGAATAGTGCTTTAGAGAAATTACTTTGGCATCTATGTGAAGGGTGGGCTGGAAAGGAGAGATACTAGGAGCAGGAAATTAGGAGACTTGTGTGAGTGAGAAATGATAAGGACAGAATTAGGGTAGCTGTAGTGGAAAGGAAAGAACATAATGCAATGGAAAGATCACTGGATCCAGAATCATATCCAAATTGAATCTGAATCTCAACTTTGGCTGTTAAACACCTATATAATCTTGTTACTTAACCTCTCTAAGCCTCAGATTCCTCATCTGTAAAATGAGAAAGATGTACTGGGTGACCTCTAAGGTTCTTTGTAGCTCTAAACCTTTGATCCTGTGATCACGTGAACAGAGGAGGGTTTAATTGGCTAGACTTGGCAAATAATTTGGATATGTGGGATGAGGGAGAGGGGAGAGGCAAAAATAAATCCAAACTCATTTGACTGACTGTGAGAACAGTGATATGCCATCGTCAGAAATAGAGAAGGTAGGGGAAGAAGTGAGTTTTGGCGGAAATATTGTAAGTTCCGTTTTAAGCATGTTGAATGTAAGATGTTGGTAATTGGAAAGATATGACTATAGCTCTGGACAGAGATCAAGTTGAAAAGATATATTTGGACAGGAGTAAAGTGAGGATAGGCCCTTTCCTTTGTTATTTGACATAATCTTAGGCTAGCAGTAAGACCATAAAGAATCTAAAAACAGGGGCAGCTAGGTGGCACAGTGGATAGAGCACCGGCCCTGGATTCAGGAAGACCTGGGTTCAAATCCGGCTTCAGACACAGAACACTTACTAGTTGTATGACTCTGGGCAAGTCACTTAACCTCATTGCCTAACCCCCCCCCCCAAAAAAAAGAGAAAATAATCTAAAAACACAGACATAGACAAGGATGAGATGAGACTGTCTCTGATGACATGATAGTTTATTTTAAAAACCCCAGAGAATCAGCAAAGAAAATAAGACAATAGATTCGGTAAAATAGAAGGATACAAAATCCACAAAAATCAATCATATTAATAATTGCAATAACAAAAACCAGGAGAAAATAACCTAGGGAGAAGTCCCATTCAAAATAACTATAATATACATAAAGGATCTGGGAGTCAATCTGCCAAGGTATACTCAAAATATATGAATTAGCCCTGAGGGGCCTCTGCTTCCAAATTCAGTTCAAATGAACACTCAGAATGCAATAGTGATTATTTATACACACATTTATATGTGTGTGTGTGTGTGTGTGTGTATATATATATACATATATATACACACACACACATATACATATATACATAACTATTATAAATAATTTTAGAAAATTTAGAAAATCAGCAAGAGTATCCTAAGGAGTCTTTTGGTTTTTTATTTTTTTTGTGAGGGAATTGGGGTTAAGTGACTTGCCCAGAGTCACACAGCTAGTAAGTGTTATGTGTCTGAGCTGGATTTGAACTCAGGTCCTCCTGACTTCTGGGTTGGCACTCTACCTCGCCACCTAGCTGCCCCCTAAGGACCCTTCTGGCTGGCTTGCCAAAAACTGTCATGGATAATTTTAGAATAACAGAGGAAACAAAGTCAAACTATACAATTTATTAGCAAGGCATACAATTGCAGGACAAATCAGGTCCAAGGCCCCTCAGTAGGCACAAGGACACTGAAGAGAGATTTACAAAGGTTTTTATAGGAAAGTACAGTTACTACTTTTAGTGTTATTATTTTTAGATTTAGGGACTTGCCAGAGTTTGAGGACTCTCGCTGCATCCACCTGCATTCTGCAAAACAGTTAGTGGCACAATAATGAATGACTCCTCCAAATTCACATCACTTACAGGAAAACTAAATTTCGCTCAGGAAAATGAGACTTGGCTCCACCAGTTGCATAAAATGTCAGCAGTGATACAAAATTGAATTGGTTTGGTTCTCTCAATTACATGTGAGCTACTTCTATTATATTTTTCATATGGTCATAGTCAGCAGAGTGCACTAACATGAGCTTCCCTGAGACTTAACTTGTAACAGAATTTAATGCAGCAACTAGTGAAAAGCCTAAAAAGAATTATAAGGCAGAGGGCAATAAGGGCCCGTTTACCAAGGGTGGTTACCAAGCTATTTCCCTGCAACCAAGTGAACCAAGAAGAAGGATTCTACCAGGGATCGATCACCTGGGGTGGGTAGTTGTGTTT